CAGGATTATCTTCTCGGGGAAGAAATCTCTGCGTGATGTTGTTTAATGACGATGTAGATTGTTTATAGTCTGTTTATCTCGTTATATCAGCCTAAGGCTTTGACTTTTTTTCGACGTGTGTCGCCTGCTCACTTGTACAGGTCACGCTTCTCTTGATCACGCTCTTCCTGATGTTTCCGCTAGAAAAGTTGCAATCAAGCTCGCAGGCTTGTGTAAATTCTTCTTACGCGACAAAGTAAACATGATCAGCGCCGGCTAAAATATCAACTTGGAGCTAACCACTCGGCCATTAGCTTCATCCATAGAAATAAAACTTTATTCGTAGCTGTCTGTGCTGATGTAAACAATTTTCATTTCAAATTTTGGCTTAGATATAGTGCTATACCCAATATGGCGCCCATTAATTAGTCCTTTCTTCTGCAAGCGAACGATATATAAAGTGCCTCGTTAACTTGCCGATTTTTTTATGACACTCCTTCCATGAAGTATCATTTGGATGAAGCATTCCTTAATTTGCATTTTACGTTCAAATTGATTGATAGAAAATTTGTTCACAACAGGCTTCCTTTTAGTTTTTGGTTACACTATTACAGATTATTTTTTTATCTTACGACATTTCTTTTTCCTTTTACTTCTGTTACTACTGAATTTTTGCTTAATTCACATCGAAATAGACCTTCAGATCTGATCCAACTGAGGAGGTCTTTTTTTTCAAGAGATATATCCTCCATTCTACCTTCAAAAATAAGATAAATGTTCGAGGGTTTTTCGTTTATCTTCATGCTTAAAACCGATCGTATTTTGAGATGTATTATTGATCATGAGGTTTCTCTAAAAGTGAGATCAAAGACAATTCCTAAAATCTTTTCAGCCAAAGTACAATTCGACATTTCGATAAAAGAAATCAATAAAACGAACTATCTTCACCTATATGGATCTATTTTAACATTCGTCGCGTAGAACAACTCGAACTGTTTTCCAGAAAATCGATCCCACAAACACGGAACAATTAAAACCGATTACCATATAAGAATCGATATAAAGTCCTGAACTGAAAACATGTGTATTGATCATCCTTATATCACCAATCGCAGAGAAAAAAAAAGAAAACAAATAAAGCTCTTCATATATTTCCGACATCAGGATATTCGTTCGTCTCACGAGAACAAATTCAAGTCAAGATCAACGTATCAAGAAAATTGTTCGAAAACAATTATTCGAAAAACATTTATTCGAATTGTAAATTGTCTGAATAAAAATTAATCGAAAGGACAATTATACGAAACGATAATTATTCGAAATACTTATGTTTGAAATACGTGTGTGGTATTTCTTTGAGAGAGACAATGCTGATTTACCTAGAACTAATAACGCCCTTGTAAGATGGCATAAGGCTTTTATGCAGTGAGTGTCACCCTATCATCACACAATATGGAAATTCTAAGACATTCTTCAAAGAGAACTTTCAAGAAATTCATATTGCAAAAGTAAAAGCAGGTTGCCAAAATATGTAGACCGCCAAGAAATATCGCGACATAAATGGAAAACTTAAAAAATTAGTGGCATCCTTTAATGAGTACTCTTCAGTAGTTGACTATTTGAGTGTAGTATCTTATAACTTAAGGTTATAGGGATTTTTTTCTTACTAAATTGTTTTATTAACGATATTTGTATTTCGAAATATCATTTTCTATAATTGTCCTTTCGATTAATTTTCATTGAAACAATTTACAATTCTAATAAATATTTTTCGAATAATTGTTTTCGAAAAATTATTTTCGAACAATGTTCACATAATCCAAGGTCAATGTTAAAGTGGAGCCCTACGCGCGTACACGTGAGTGGTGTTAAAAGGTCTAGCCCTTTTCCCTTGTTATAGATTGAACCCCCTTTAAATCAATGGCACTTGGTCCTGAGAATGAAGGAACAGATTTACCACTTGAGCACCTCTCGAAAGCCGGACAAAAAAGCAGAAGGAATATTTCCTGGCAGATCAAACCAGCAAGATGTTTAATATTTTTGAGAATGGTCTCCAAGAATGCGTGAGTGTGGAAGACTTTTAATTTTTGAATTCTGCACACCGTTGTTATCCACCATCCCTGCTATCGGACTACCACCCACTACGACACAAATGTTTCCACAGTAACGTTTCTCTCTCTAAAGGGTAAAGAATCCGTTGAATGCACATATTTGCTGTGCAAGCTAAAAAGTTACACACAAATATTAGTTATAAAAAAAGAAATGAGAGAAAAAAATACTAAAGCCTTTCCTCGCACGAAGATTCCAATTCACAATACAACTAAACTAAAATCTGCCATAAAAAAAAAAACTCTTGCACCGCGAAAATCTTCTGAGATAAACACAGTGAAAAGCACTGATCGGCACATCAAAATAGTTTTTTGTGGTTTAAGAAAACGTTGTCATCTGGAGATTTTCGTGAACTGATATTACAGGACGATACGAAATTTCATTCAACTAAAATCTCTAAAAAAAGTAAATCAGTTTTAAATTCCAGATATTCGTATACGTTTAAGTCAAAACCAAACGGTTCAACTTGATGACTTTCAAGTATATTTGAGTCCATAGTTCTGGAGTATTTCATTACGCCTCAATGAGTTTAATAATTAGCAAGCGGGTCTCATTGACTGAGCATTCTCAGTATAGTGAGTTCGATTCTCACTACATGCCATCACTGCACTAGATAAATTAACAATAAAAAAAAACAAGGCATTTCAACATAGCAATCTAGTCTCGTAGACTATAACAATTGTATTATGTTAAATTTGTATTGACCGTGTTACACTCGTGGCCTCACCATTAAGTTATTATCATGCTTGTTTTGCAAATCATTGCATTTCATCTTCACTGGTTACTACATAATTGTGGCCTTGTGCCATACTATGCAAAGTTTCGTCTCTACACAAGAATACAAACATGAAATTCTCCAGAATTTGGTGTAAACATTATTACACGACTAGCTAGCGGACTGGCTGGTTATTTATATTGCGTAGCTAATGGCTTATATACAATGTTTTGAAATTGTTTGACAATCTATTATTGTTCATCTAATTTCTCTTAAGCACATCTCCATTTCTCTAATCTGTTTTGTTTGGAAAAAAACAACATATTAAGCACCATGCTAGCAACTTCACTTACAGTTAGTGTACGAATTCAAGCAAAGGCCAGGTTTCTGATTTCGAATTTTAGTACAAACCTGTCCAACGTAGAGGTTGGCACTGAACAAAAGTTATCTTCTCTAGGAAAGGGTGAACTTTATTACTGTAAACATTTATTATTTAAAAGACGAAAATATTCTTGGCAACAATGTAATATATATATATATATATATATATATATATATATAACTAATAAATGTAATATACATTTATACATAAAATATATAATGTATATAAAAATACTTAACTAATAAATGTAGTATATATTTATACATATATATATATATATATATATATATATATATATATATAAGACATGTCTCATTAAATAATTTAGACAAATTTTGTCTACTTATTTTTAATATGATCGTCTCATATTCATGGACAAGTTTCTTAGTATCCTTATTAAAGGAAGAAAGAAAATTACCATATTGATGCTTATTCATTTATTCCGAGTACTTTCGACATTAGCAAAATGTTATCTTCAGGAGCTTGTTTTATCAGGGTCTTGTTTTATTTACGAAGAATTTGTTGTGTTTATTTGGATATTAATTTTTTTTTTGTGACGTGAAAAACGCTAAATTTATATACTGTACGATTTTTAAATTTTATGATGTAAGCATACGCGTGTAGTAATGTCAAGGGAGGTAACTAAGTTATTAAGATGTCTATTAAAAAAAGCTATTTAAAGCGCTTAGTTAAAATAGATATTTTTAAAATATCTACTGTAAAGATTTTAAAACACGTGTTCTGTATTTGTAATTAATTTTATCAAGGCTTGGTTTCAATTTTTCAATATAGATAGCTTCAAGAATTTTTAGTTTATGTTTATTATTTTCATGAAAAAGTATAGATGTATTTTCAACAAGAATTTTTCTTAATTGTGAACGTGGACAGGTATGCCGTTGTAAATGTTTAGAAATGTTAGATACATCATTCAAATGAAAACTCCGAGACAACGTAGCTGTAGTGTGATTTGCTACATTTGTCGAAGTAGAGTGCTCGTCGCTACTTAAAGTTCGCTCGTAAAATTTGGTAAAATTTTTTTAATTTTTTTGTAGATTAGCATTCATTTCATCTTTCTCGATCCACACTATTTGTCAGAATTGAAAAATATATTCGCGATATAAATACGCTCTCAAATAGATCCCTGACTTTTTAAAGAATAATCTATACTCCGTTATTTTTTTTTTTTTTTTTTTTACAAATTCCATATTTGATAACTGTGTACTATTATGAATTGGCACAAAGGACATCTTCTTTAAGAAGTCAGAGACTGAATTTTTATTATGAACAGAACGTCCCATTTTTTTAAAATGGGAAAAATCAATATTTCTCTATTCTAACACATTTCATGGCTTGAGGGAGATATAATGAATGTCAGTCTATAAAAATTATTTCTCCAAAAAATTTCCCTATTTTTACGAGCGGACCAGTCAAATTAATTGATGCCAATGTCTCACTATCACAGGCAGAGCATTTATAGACAGTTTGGATTGGTTACCTCAGCTTTGCATACAAGACCGTTAAGATTTTTTTGAGTCGTTGAGTGGAAGTGTGAGTGGTTTACGTCATCATACGTCATTCAGTTGTCGTATTAAAATAATGTTATTGACTTATCTCCGAATTTCATACAATAGAATAATCGTCTTTCAATTTATCCCCAAAGTGTACATTCGAAATACTGGCTTTTACTTGGACTCGAACACTAACCACTGGCGAGAATTAAGCAACTAAGTACGCAACTTGCTTAACCACCGAGCATGTTTGCAGCTTTGTATTTTGCTTGATCATAACACTTGCAGCTATTATTATTTCCATCAAATGCTTTTCTCTCCTCATTTCCATCCATTCCTTTTTCCCATCATTCTTTCGTTATTAAACCACTCCTTATTCATTTCACATTTGTTTTTCCTTTCTTTTTTTTTCCTTTTTCTCTCTCTTCTCTTCCCCAGAAGTCTCTACAGCACAGACAACCTCGACAAAGCCAAAGCAGATCTGGCAAAGGGAGACCCAAAAGGCAAAGGCTTTAAACAAAAAATGAGCCACTCACAGGGAAATACAAATATGACGTTAGCGGATGAACTAGACACGGTTTCTGGCAGCAATGGTTGCGGAGGCGGCGGCACGAGCGTCCAAGAGAGTCCTTTTGTAGATAACAACGTCTACGAAGTGCAACCGAGCGACGGCTACAAAAGGTTCAAAGGAGGTTCGAGCATGGAAAGCCTCTACAGCAACAACGAGGGATCGAGTCTAGAAAGGGACACGCCTATTCATTCCACTAATGTAAGTCACGAGTCTAATTCATCATTTTTTTTTCTTTCTTTTTTTTCTTTCTTTTTCTTTTCTTCTTTTTACTTTAGGATGGCAAGAAAGGCGAACTCCGGCATTTCTTTTTATCATTCTTTATTTATTCGCTTATTTTATTTTGATATATCCATTTGGCTTTTTATTGTGGATTTTCATTGTATTTTGAATTCATTTTATTTTTATATTTGTGCCTAAAGAGAGAGGCGTGTGGGTGTGCAAGTTATTGAATGCGTTCGCCTGCGTACCTTCTCCCATAAGAAAATTAGTATACGTCAGTTCTTCTAAAGAACAGTTTCCTTATTTATTTATTTATTTATTTACTCTGGTGACCAAAATTTTGTGTAGTTTTCGATGGTCTCTTCTTTAATCTGAAAGATCCATCGAAAAGTAACTATTAGTAAGTATGAGACCACCACATCATGCGCTGTCAAATAACCTTTACAAAGAATAGCTTACAGAAATAATTAAACATAGATGGGAATAGACAAACCGTTAAAAGAGTGAAAAATGGAATCGGCAGACCGATTTCAAATTTCTGTTAAAACCGTTACTGTTTACTTCACACTAATATCCTTGAAAAAGAAACAAATCTATATTTTCTCCCAGCTATGGGTTAAATAGGCAGATCTGTCTCTCTAGCCTACGTTGGTAACCAACCAACCAGATAACTCTAAATTCAAAACCATCAAGAAGGCAGGCATTTATCTTCCGTAAAAACAATCATGTCAATGCACAGTTTTTCTGATATTAAACGAAAGGAATCTGTGAAGAGCTATGATCGCATGTATTCTGAAAAGATATTGCATACAGTGAGAGTAACGAATGAAATTAACGTTAGTTCACTATGTTGTACGAGACAATTTTTTTCTCTCAGTCTATCATACATATTTATAAGTCTACCATTCGTCCATGCTTAGAATATTGCTGCCACATCTCGTCCGGTACTCCTGCTATTTACATTGATCTCCCTGATAAAATCCAAAGAAGAATCAGCAATATTATCAGCCTTTATCTGACATCTCGGCTTCAGTCACTTTCCCACCGCCGTAAGGTTGCTTCCCTGTGCCTTTTCTATAAATACTTTCATGGTAATTGTTCGGATGAGCTCTTTGCTATGGTACCTACACTTTTTGAATTCAAGCGCAGTACGAGACTGGCGTCGGGATCTCATCGATTTACATTTGAGATGGCTCGATGTAACCATAAATTCTATGCTAATATTTACTTCTCGCTTGTGGAACTCCCTTCTGACTCCATGCTTTCCAGCCAATTTTAATCTGCAAAAATTTAAATGCAATGTCAATCGCTATCTACTATCCTCCTGATTACTCTCTTTGTTCCCGTTCATTAGTAACGTTTCTGTTCTCTTTCACATCCAGTAACCCCTTGTGTCTTAGTGACTTTACTGTCTAACATGGGGTGAAATCGATTTTAAAAATTGTCTAAAAGTTGATTGTTTTCAGTAAAAAAAAAAAAAAAAATTAAACTAGAAATAAAAGCGGATCGTATAATAAAGTCCGACTCCGTGAAAGAGCAAAGTACAAATAAAATAATTGTAAAAATATTTTTAAAGATTCATATGTTAAAACATTCCAATATTAAGGCTTAAAAAATAGGAATTTTACCATTTTTGACAGTATGAATAACAGATCGTATAATAAAGGATTAACCAAACTTCTCTGAAGTGTAGAACCCTTGACCCAGATAATGGTTTTACGGATAACCCTAACAATTCAATGTTTAAAATATAAATAAAAACACATGAATAAAGGATACATTTATTTTTAAGATTATTTACAAGAAATAAAGTCAAATTTAATAACTAAAGTGTAACTGTTGTTTTGAAGTACAATTTTTTTTCAAAGTCGGACATGATCGATGTAACTTACAGCCTCGTATCATTCTTTGCTTGTTTCTATACTTAGTGTTAGGAGATGTATATATAATGAAAGTATCTTTTCACAAAGATTTCAGAGCTCGAACCAACATTTGTAGATATTGTACGTGTAGGTCAATCAAAAATTTTGATAAATCACTTTCTCTAAATTTCATTCTAAACTCAAATGTTTATCAAGCTGTGCCATCTCTATTAAAGACAAGACTTGGAGAATCAGGAAATGGATCTCATTTATCCCTTTATTTATTTATTTATTTCTGATGGGGTGAGGGTCAAATCAAAAATGTTTTGAACATTTTTATTTTATATTTCTTCCTTTTTTGGCACGATTCTCATTATGGCATGAAACAAGGAATAGAAAGGTTTGCGAAGCTCCTGGCCTTCATTTATGGAGCCTACCTTGGGAAACGCTGGTATAGTATATACTGCGTTCACTGGAATTTAAACTAGTTGCCTTACTCTATCAAAAGTGGTTTAGAAGATTATTGAAAATGGGTCATTGAAAGACGCTCTTTCAAAATGGACGACCATGATGAACTGCGGATATTAATCTAACATGTCAGATGCTTGTCTTAAACTTTAACGCAACATATGAAATTATAAGTCAGAACCTGCTATGTATTCGAAATTTAAACGTATTAGGTGAATAAATACACTCCGAACACATCGAATTCAAAAGACAAAAAACAACGTGCCATCGCTTTAGTTAATATTTGTTATGGTGTAGAACCATAGACAGATAACACGGACTCGGATACAAGGTTAAATAGTATATTCTCGGAAACGTAGTACAAATCTAAATGTGGACTGGAGAGTACTTTCTTCTCACTAGTGACCTCACTCACTCACTCACTCACTCACTCACTCACTCACTCGGTCGGTGTCTACTACTCGGCGACCCTCACTCGGTGACTTCCTCTACTCAGAGTTGGTAGCCATATTATAGAGGTGTGGAAGAGTCCATTTGTAGGTATGTCCCCACAATAATATTATATACTTGTTATTCATGCTGTCAAAAATTATAAAATTCCTATTTTTTAAGCCTTAATATTGGAACGTTTTCACTTATGAATCTTTAAAAATATTTTTACAATTAATTTTATTTGTACTTTGCTCTTTCACGGAGTCGGACTTTTCACTTTATGGCTTCGTAAACATCTTGAAAGAATCTGTTATTGTCATAAAACAAACCCACTACTATCTAGTATTGCGAATACAAAAAGGCTGTTAATCACCTCAAAAAATCAACATCCTGGGTGACAAGCAGTAGGATTTTCGCTCCTTTTAAGTTCCCCACTGATGTCTTTACACTCAAAATCAGCGAGGCTACTCCATAATAAATTCATCACCAAAGCGATCGCCTCAGATATCCCAAATGACTTTGACAAGATGTGGCGTAGCAGTTTGCTACACAAAATTTCTAGCCATAGAATGTCTGGAAGAGTTTTCACAATTATCAATTCCTTCCATCTACTTCGAGTGGCTCTTGAGCCTTGTATTAGGTTAAAAGTACTATAATACATCCAAACTAATTTATCAAAAACCTACAGACATTATGGAAAAAATTTTAGAAACTTCAATAAAGAAAATGAGCTCTCCGGCAGAAATCGAAACTATTTTTCCCGTTTGATCCAGGAAAATAGAGCCTTACTGTACAGTAACGCTCTACGTAGCCGAGCAGTAAAACACACCGGATCAAATGGTGATGTCTCTTACAAATGAGGACGCAGGTTCGATTTCTGCCGGACAGCACATTTTCTTTACAGAGATTTCAGTGTGGACGCCCATAGACGTAAGATATACATATAAATTTTATGTATCTGAGTGTGCATGCGTATGCATACGCGATTGATTTTACATCATAAATTTAGAATTCAAACGTATTATATATATATATATATATATATATATATATATATATATATATATAAAGAAAACAGAGAATAATCTTCATTCCTTAGAGTAATGGTCAACAAGTTAAACTCACAATCCAAGACTACTGAAATGAGTTCTATTTTCACTTGATTTTACGCACTTTTGAACTTGTAGAAGACGCAGCGAGACTATGAAATATAAAAGAAATTGTGTACAGGTAGAAATACACACACGCCGTATTATTAGCCTTTATGAATTGTGAATATTAAAATAACAGATGTTTAAATGAAGGAAAAATGAAAATAATATTCATTGAAATTTATTTAAAATTATTTATTTAAAATTAATTTAATCGATACAATTTAAATAGATATTTAGAAATTAAAGAAATTAAAAGTCGATATTTGCACTCAGATTAATCTCTGACTTCGTATGTTTTGTAAGACACGCTGGAAAATTTGGCGCTATATAATCTTCATTTCTTCATATGCTTTTCCAACAAAACCTGAACATTATCTAACCATCTAATTATCGGTCTAATTTTTTTTTTTTCGTTTTCTTTTTCTTCGTAATTGAACGTTGGTTTGTTTTTTATAAATATGTTGCTAAAGACATCAATACATTTGTCTGTGTTTAGATGTATCTTTACGCCTGTATGCGTAGCCATATGGTTGTATAAGCATAATTACATATATATAGGTACCTACTCTAAAAAGTCAGTATACCATGTTGAAAACATGCGCGAAACGTAATGAAAATATAGTTTTATCGTCAAAATCTTTCTGTTGTTATTAAGGGTATGTTTTTAATATTTAATTAAATATTTACTCATTTTTAGAATATTCGAAATTTTGATTAAAAAACTTGTTTTTCTTGCGTCAGCGGTTGTACTAACTTTTAGCATAGCAAATTTTAGCCACTTCTTGCAGTAACAGACACATTAATTATTAAATTCTTGCAAAAATCAAATAATTG